TACCACTTGCTAGTTCAAGGCGTTTCTGATCGGCTATATGCCTCATCTCATGTTTTGATAAGTAGCTTTGCTCATATTCAATTTGGGAAAATAATTTTTGGATATTGTCTTCTATTGGCTTTAATTTTGGTGCGACTAGAACAGGGCGCCTAATAATCAGGCTAGAATAAATCTTTACAGGCGTAGACGAAGCAAGTAGAAGCGGGCAGAGAAATACCATTGAAAAAAAATCAGCAAACTAAAAATTGTAGACCTTAATTTAAATTATAAAATAATATAGTTTTAATAAATAATAAAAACATTAATAAAATAATGGTTCTTTGAATCAATTATTTGTTATGGAAACAATAAGCAGCGAATATTTGAGCTTATAACTGCTAATTAATCTTCCACGATGTCGGCCGGTATTGCTCAATTGAAGCAGGTTTTTGGGTTCCGTACAGGAATAGCGGGATCTGTAGTTTTTTTGGATGAACAAACGCTTGTATTTCCATGTGGTTCTAACTTAGTTTTGTATAATATGGAACATCGCATCCAGAGATTTGTAGCTGGACTTGATAAGTCATTTGGAATGACAGCAATGGCGATAAGCCCCAACCGAAGGTATGTCGCTCTTGCGGAGAAGACAAGCGAACGTTCAGTTATCACGATATATGATCTACAGGCGCTAAAGCGGAAAAAAATTATTTACCCTAATGATATTCATGGTGGAGAATTTGTTAGTGTAGTCTTTTCTCCAGATTCTAAGTACATAGCTGCACAAAGTTCAGAACCAGATTGGCTTATGATTTATTGGTCTTGGGAAAAGAACAAGCAATTAGCGGTAGTTAAGACATCAATGGGAAATGCTGTCAATCAGGTTTGAAGTGTACTAATGGCTTTTATAGTTTAAAGATATCCTTTAATCCACAAGATAGTACGCAATTATGCGTTTGTGGTTCTGATATATTTAGACTTTACAAATTTTCAGAAAATAATCTTAAACCCGTTGGCCTTTCTAAAGTTGAACCACAAAACTTTCTCTGTCATGCATGGATTGGAGCTGAAAAAGTAGTAGTTGGAACGCAGTCCGGCAAATGGATACTTATTGAGAATGGCGAGCCGAAAATAGAGTGTAATTTGGCTGCTCTTGTAAAAGAACAGGACAAGGTTCATAATGAACCGTAAGTTAAAACTTCGTTTATTATTTTTATATAACATTTCAGAGTATCACTTTTATTTTATATTTACTAGCACTTTTTATTAAAAATAATTAAGTATGCTTTTAGATGCTTTTATAAAAATGTTTTTATGTGAAATATTAATCTTGGCAAAGTATGGCTCTTAATTCTATTCAGCCTACGATTATGCGTTGGTGTACAAAAATTGCTTAAATTAGGGGCACAGAAAATAAGGACCTAGAAGAACTATGGTATCTTAATCATCGCAAGGTAGTTTAGACTAGTCTTTGATTTCTAACAACTTATAGTATAGTCTTTGGTAAGCACTAAATTCGGACTTTTAGTAACTTTGATAATAAAACCTCTTTAAAAATTAGCAAATATGCCAGAACTTTAATACCACGCAACT